GAGAGAGAGAGAGAGAGAGAGAGAGAGAGAGAGAGAGAGAGAGAGAGAGAGAGAGAGAGAGAGATGCATTGCCCTGTATGGAGAGAAAGACAGGTCCGTGCTGTCTTGGATTGTTTACTCGTCTCGGTTGATGCTCATCACACATGGGGATATTGTTTGCAAAGCACGGGTGTCATCCACGAACAGTTAAGTCATGGGCCAGAAGTTTGTTCTGCGGTTCTGTTCCCCGTTTGCTCATCAAGGTTTGTAGTTCATGGATGCATGTGCATACAACCCCTGTTTTTGCCGGAGAGTATTCTCCGAGATGTAGAGTGACGTCTGTCTATCAGGCTGGTAGCTCATGGACTGAAGGTTCCACTACTTGGTTGTGCTTTGCTGTTTGCTTATCCAGGTTTTCAGTTCATGGATGCATGTGTGTGCAGTCCGTGTTTTTGCTGAGAGTATTCTTCGCTACGGGCTTCCACCTCATTTTGTGGTGAGTTCACGACTGCCCGCCCCAAGTTCTTGTTTGTTTTTTTTGTCTCAAACCCATTCGGACTGATTCTTTGCTTCCAATGTTCCGGACGATGGTAAATGCTAATTACGATGGTAAATGCTACTTACGACGGTAAATGCTACTTGCATTCTTTGACTGGCCATTCGGAAACATTTGCGAAATAATTTCAAATAAAGAAGTAACTTCTGAATATTGGTTTGAAATTTGAAATCGCCGCACAGCCGGAGCTGTTTGTCAACCCATTTACAAACTCACCACACGGCTAGAGCTTTTTTTTTTTTTTTTTTTTTTTGAGCCACTAGTACCTTTGACGGTTGGGAAAATAGGGAAAAGTCGGGGACTTGGCCTGACGACAGCGGCCATTTATAAATCAGATTTATTCGGCCTCCTAAAAGATCTCATCGGCGGCCGTCGTTTTGTTTTGGCCTCCTAAAAGATCGGAGGCCCATCCGAGGCTCCCTATTTTCTCAACCGTCAAGGGTACTACCGTCTTCGCCCGAATGAAACGCCCGGTCGTTATAGCTGCATTTGGCCCAACTTGCAGTCCAGATGCAGCGATAATGACCGGGCGTTATATTTGGGTGAAGACGGTAGTGGTTTAACAGGTGTAGCTATTTGGCGTACTTGTTCTTCGACTCATCATGCGAGCATTACTTTTTATGAAGCGACGACAAATGTACAAGTATTTGCTGAAATGGCCATCAGTAATGATTGCCAGTGCCAGAGCGTGATCTGGTCGTGAAATATTCGGACTTGGGGTGCGAAAGCATTGTGCGCAGTTTTGATTTGTACAGGCAATGGGGTGAAAACAGTTGTAGCGTAGGAGGGCACTTCCATCTTCACGGTGCATGAGCAGAGAACGTCTCCAACTGTGCTAATCCCCAGCTTCGTTCGAGAGGTCAAAATTCAAATCCTGTCTTCCTTCTAGGGTAGGGTTTGAAGGGATCTTTTTGGGGGGGACCGATCTCCCTGGGGGGGACCGATCTCCCTGGGGCGGACAACCGTGATAACAATTTATTTACTCTAACATTGGGGTACAGCTTACCTGGCACAATGCATACCCAATAAAAGCTGTTACAATCATTAATAATCATTAATAATAAAAAATGACCACTCCACGACACCACACTAATTCTCATGGACTGACATAACTCCCATAATAAAGACCGCAAAAAATAAATATGTTTATTGCAATTGCGTCGTGTCAAACATCCTGCATTTAGTCACACTAGGCGACGTTAGATATTTGTTTCACATTGTCGAACGCCAGGTTGCACTGCACTTACCTCCTGAAAATCGGGCCAACCCATGCTGTCAACGAATGAAAACTGTGGCCGTCAGATCGGCAACCAACGGAGCAACTGAAAAAGGGTGGGCTTTCGGTGAAGGGTATCGGTGGGGTTTAAACCACCATCACTCGAGCAAGGTGTGCGCATTAACGTGCTGGCCTTTCAGGGATGTACAGGCCTGCTCGATTAAATTTGAATGTGCATGGAGGCCTGCAGAGAATGAAGGGTGGGTCCCAAGTCCTGGTGGTTCAAGACCACACGGGCACTGTTCTACTGTACGTACCCTTCATTTTGCTGTCAGAGTTGCAGTTTGGACTTCATTTGCTGTCCGATGTACAGTTTGTCGTGTGGTGGAAATGGTGCACAGGCTGTGGAAGCAAACGTGTGTGGATTATTTTGGCGCGCGAATGGTAGAGACCGTCAGATGTTGAATCCAATGGTGTCGATGGAATGTTTTTGATTCACTGCAGCCTGCAGTTGTGAGCCCGTCGCCAAAGTACGAGAAGAAGCTTCGTCAAATCTTGGAATCCATCGCAGCTGGTGCAGGCAACCACAAGTAGGTGATACTTTCCAATAGATTGACCTCCCATTGTGTCATACGCCCTTCTGCATTGCATTACGCTATGTTTCTCGTCTGAGGGGGCTAAGAGAGGGAGGGGGGGGAGAGAGGAGGGAGAGGGGGGGGAGCTGTCTCTTATACACATCTAGATGTGTATAAGAG